GGCAAAAAGGGACAAAAGAACCCAAAAATTATCCATGGACTTCATGTGCTGCTGCTCCTCCTGGGGACACCACCCAGAAATGGGCAAAAAGGGACAAAAGAACCCAAAGTAAATCAAAATTATCCATGATCTTCAGGTGCCGCTGCTCCTCCTGGGGAAATCATCCAAAAAAACCCCGAAAAATTCCCAAATGTTCTGGAGTTTCTCGTCCTCTCCTGTCCTTCTGCTCTCCCTGGTCCCACCTCAGGTCTTCTCCACCTTGAGCTTCCTCAGACCCCAAAACACCTCAAAAACCCCAGAAAAAAGACCCAAAAACCCCAAAGGAACCCAAAAACCCCCAAACCTTCTGGAGCTCCTCCATCTCACCTGTCATTCTGCTTTTCCTGGTCCCACCTCAGGTCTTCTCCATCAGGAACCTCCCAAGACCCCAAAACACCTCAAAAACCCCAGAAAAAAGACCCAAAAACCCCAAAGGAACCCAAAAACCCCCAAACCTTCTGGAGCTTCTCCATCTCACGTGTCATTCTGCTCTCCCGGGTCCCATCTGAAGTCTTCTACACCTTGAGCATCTCAAGACCCCAAAACACCTCAAAAACCCCAGAAAAAAACCGAAAAACCCCACAAGAACCCAAAGGAACCCAAAAATCCAGAAAATAAGCCTCAAACCTTCTGGATCTCCTCCATCTCACCTGTGATTCAGCTCTCCCGGGTCCCACCTGAGCTCCTCCTCATCATGGACCTCCTGAGAGCCCAAAACACCTCAAAAACCCCAGAAAAAAAAACCTCAAAAAACCCGAAAGAGCTCAAAGGAACCCAAAAATCCAGAAAATAAGCTTCAAACCTTCTGGAGCTTCTAGATCTCTCCTGTCCTTGTGCTCTCCATGGTCCCACCTCAGGTCTTCTCCACCTTGAGCATCTCAAGACCCCAAAACACCTCAAAAACCCCAGAAAAAAACCCCAAAAAACCCCAAAAGAACCCAAAGGAACCTAAAAAACCCCAAACCTTCTGGAGTTTCTAGATCTCTCCTGTCCTTGTGCTCTCCATGGTCCCGCCTCAGGTCTTCTCCACCTTGAGCATCTCAAGACACCAAAACACCTCAAAAACCCCAGAAAAACCCCTCAAGAACCCAAAGGAACCCAAAAAGGCCCAAACCTTCTTGAGCTTCTCGATCTCGGCCTCGTCCTTGCGCACGCCCTGCTCCCACATCAGCACCTTCTCCTGGTCCTCCCGCAGCTGGTTGCGCTCGAAGTCCAGCTGGATCCCCAGGCGCGTCTTCTGGTTCTCGAACTCCAGCCTGGGGGGACACCACCAGCTCCTCAGGGGTCTCCCAGGGGCTTTGGGGGGTCTCTGAGGGGCTTTTTGGGGTTCCCGAGAAGGTCTTGAGATGTTTTTTGGGGTTCCTGAGAGGTTCTTTGGGGTTTCTCATGGGTTTTTTTGGGGTTCTTGAGATGTTTTTGGGGTTCCTGAGACGTTCTTGGAGGTTCTTGAGATGTTTTTTGGGGTTCCTAAGAGGTTCTTTGGGGTTTCTCAGGGTTTTTCTGAGGTCCTTGAGATGTTTTTTGGGGTTCCTGAGAGGTTCTTTGGGGTTTCTCATGGGTTTTTTTGGGGTTCTTGAGATGTTTTTGGGGTCTCCGAGAAGTTCTTGGAGGTTCTTGAGATGTTTTTTGGGGTTCCTGAGAGGTTCTTTGGGGTTTCTCAGGGTTTTTTTGGGGTTCTTGAGATATTTTTGGGGTCTCTGAGGGATTTTTGGGGGTCTCCAAGAGATTTCTGAGGTTCTTGAGATGTTTCTTGAGGTTCCTGAGGGTTTTTATTGGGGTTCTTTAAATTTTTTTTGGGGTTCTTGAGATGTTTTTTGGAGTCCTTGAGGGGTTTTTGGGGTCTCTGAGAAGTTCTTTGAGGTTCTTGAGATGTTTTTTGGGGTTCCTCAGGGGTTTTTTGGGGTTCCTCAGAGGATTTTGGGGTTCTTGAGAGGTTTTTTGGGATCCTTCAGTATTTTTAGGGGTTCTTGAGAAGTTCTTCGGGGTTCTTGAGAGGTTTTTTTGAGGTTCCTGAGATGTTTCTGGGGGACCTGAGAAGTTCTTTGGGGTTCTTGAGGGTTTTTTTGGGGGTTCCTGAGGGGTTGGGTTCTTGAGATGTTTTTTGGAGTCCTTGAGGGGTTTTTGGGGTCTCTGAGAAGTTCTTTGAGGTTCTTGAGATGTTTTTTGGGGTTCCTCAGGGGTTTTTTGGGGTTCCTCAGAGGATTTTGGGGTTCTTGAGAGGTTTTTTGGGATCCTTCAGTATTTTTAGGGGTTCTTGAGAAGTTCTTTGGGGTTCTTGAGGGGTTTTTTTGAGGTTCCTGAGATGTTTCTGGGGGACCTGAGAAGTTCTTTGGGGTTCTTGAGGGTTTTTTTGGGGGTTCCTGAGGGGTTTTGGAGGTCCTCGAGTGGATTTTGGGAGGTTCCCTGAGGTCCAGGGAGGGTATGGGGGCTCCTTGAGATGGTTTTTGGGGTCCCCCAAAGATTTTGAGAAGTTCTTTGGGGTTCCTCACAGGTTTTTTTGGGGTCCCCAAGAGATTTTTAAGGTTCTTGAGATGTTTTTTGGGGTCTCCAAGAGATTTTTGGGGTTCTTGAAAGTTTATTTGGGGGTTCCTGAGAGGTTTTTGGGGTCCCTGAGAAGTTCCTTGAGATGTCTTTGGGGTTCCTTGAGATGTTTTTTGGGGTCTCTTAAAGGTTTTTTGGGGTCTTCAAGAGATTTTTGGGGTTCCTGAGATGGTTTTGGGGTGCCCTTGGGGGTCCCTGAGGGTTTTTTGGGGTCCCTGAGGGTTTTTTGGGGTCCCTGAGTTTTTTTGGGGTGTCCTGACCTTTTCTTGGCGATCTCGTTCTGCCTCTTCACCTTCTCCTCCTCGAACTCGCGGATGTTCCTGACCCCGATTTCCCGGCAGAATTCCTCGAAAACCTCGTCCTCCACCTGGGGGGAGGGGCAGGGTCAGGAACCCCCAAAAATCCCCCCAAATCCACCCCAAAAATCCCCAAAATCCACCCCAAAATGCCCCAAATCCACCCCAAAAATGTCCCAAATCCACCCCAAAAATGCCCAAAATGCACCCCAAAAAATCCCCCAAATCCACCCCAAAAAATCCCCCAAATCCACCCCAAAAAATCCCCCAAATCCACCCCAAAAAATCCCCCAAATCCACCCCAAAAATGCCCAAAATTACCGCAAAAACCAACCCAAAACCATCTCAAAACCCCCCGAAAATCACCCCAAAATCAACCCCAAAAACGGCCAAATTCACCCAAAAATCACCCCAAAACCACCCCAAAATCGTCCCAAAAACCACCACAAAAATGGCCCCCAAAATCGACCCCAAAAATGCCCCAAATCCACCCCAAAAATGCTCAAAATCCACCCCAAAAATGTCCCAAAATCCACCCCAAAAATCCCCAAAATCCACCCCAAAAATGCCCCAAAGCCACCCCAAAAAAATCCCCCAAATCCACCCCAAAATCCTCAAATCTGGGGATCCCAAAATCGCACAAATCCACCCCAGAATCCCCCAAAAATCCTCCCCAAAAACCCCAAATTCCACCCAAAAAATCTCCCCCAAAATCCTCCAAATCCCTCCCAAAATCCCCCAAATCTGGGGACCCCAAAATCTCCCAAATTCCCCCAAAACCCCCAAGTTCCACCCTAAAATATTCCCCCAAATCTGCCCCAAAAAAACCCAAATTCCCTCAAAACCCCCAAATTCCGCCCAAAAAATCTCCCCCAAAAATCCCCCCAAAAGTTCCCCAATTTCCCCCCAGAGTCCCCACATCTGGGGGAGCCCAAAATCCCCAAAATTCACCCCAGAATCCCCAAATCCCCCAAAATCCTCCCCGAAATCTCCCCCAAAAAAACCCAAATTCCCTCAAAACCCCCAAATTCCACCCAAAAAATCTCCCCCAAAAATCCCCCCAAAAACCCCAAATCTGGGGGACCTCAAAACGCCAAAAAAATCCCCAAATCCACCCCAAAATCCCCCCAAAAATTCCCAAATCCCCCCAAAAACCCCAAATCTGGGGGACCTCAAAACGCCCAAAAATCCCCCCAAAAACCCCCCAAACCCCCCAATTCTACCCCAAAATTCCCCCTCAAAAAATCCCCAAACCTGGGGGACCCCAAAATTCCCAAAAAATCCCCAAATCCACCCCAAAATCTCCCCAAAATCCCCCAAATCCCGAAGAGGGAATTCTCCCCAAAACTGGAGGAATTTCTTCCCAAAATTGAGGGAATTTTTTTCCCAAATTTGGCAGAATTTTCTTCAAAATTGAGGAAAATTTCTTCCCAAATTAAGGGGATGTTTTCCCCAAAATTCAGGGGATTTTTTCCCAAAATTGGGGAATTTTATCCTCAAATCTGGAAGAAGTTTTTCCCAAAATTGGGGGAATTTCTTCCCAAACCCGGGGATTTTTTCCCCAAATTTTGGGGGGATTTTTTTCCCCAAATTTGGCAGAATTTTCCTCAAAATTGTGGAAATTTCTTCCCAAAACTGGGGGAATTTTTTTCCCCAAAATTGAGGGAATTTTTTTCCCAAATTTGGCAGAATTTTCCTCAAAATTGGGGGGATTTCTTCACCAAATTGGGGGAAATTTTCCCCAAAATTCAGGGGATTTTTTCCCAAAATTGGGGGATTTTATCCTCAAATCTGGAAGAAGTTTTTCCCAAAATTGGGGGAATTTCTTCCCAAATTTGGCAGAATTTTCCTCAAAATTGTGGAAATTTTTTCCCAAAACTGGGGGAATTTTATAGCAAAATTGAGGGATTTTTTTTCCCAAATTTGGCAGAATTTTCCTCAAAATTGGGGGAATTTTTCCCCCAAATTGGGGAAAATTTACCCCAAAATGGAGGGAATTTCCCCCAAATTTGGGAGATTTTCTCCTCAAAACTGGAGGAATTTCTTCCCAAAATTGAGGGAATTTTTTTCCCAAATTTGGCAGAATTTTCTTCAAAATTGAGGAAAATTTCTTCCCAAATTTGGGGGATAAAATTCCCAAATCCCCCCAAAAACCCCAAATCTGGGGGACCTCAAAACGCCCAAAAATCCCCCCAAAAACCCCCCAAACCCCCCAATTCTACCCCAAAATTCCCCCTCAAAAAATCCCCAAACCTGGGGGACCCCAAAATTCCCAAAAAATCCCCAAATCCACCCCAAAATCTCCCCAAAATTCCCAAATCCCCCCAAAAATGGACCCCAAAATCCCTCAAATCCCGAAGAGGGAATTCTCCCCAAAACTGGAGGAATTTCTTCCCAAAATTGAGGGAATTTTTTTCCCAAATTTGGCAGAATTTTCCTCAAAATTGGGGAAATTTCTTCCCAAAACCTGGGATTTTTTCTGCAAAATTGTGGAAATTTCTGCCCCAAATCTGGGATTTTTTTTCCTGAAATTTGGGGGGATTTTTTCCCCAAATTTGGCAGAATTTTCCTCAAAATTGAGGGAATTTCCCCTAAATTTGGGTGATTTTTTCCTCAAAACTGGAAGAAATTCTCTCCAAAACTGGAGGAATTTCTTCCCAAAATTGAGGGAATTTTTTTCCCAAATTTGGCAGAATTTTCCTCAAAATTGAGGGAATTTTTTTTCCCCAAATTGGGGGAAATTTACCCCAAAATTGAGGGAATTTCCCCCAAAATTGGGGGATTTTTTCCTGAATACTGGAAGAAATTCTCTCCAAAATTGGAGGAATTTCTTCCCAAATTTTGGGGGAATTTTTCCCCGAAATTCGGCAGAATTTCCCTCACAATTGTGGGAATTTTTTGCCCAAAACTGGGGAGGATTCACCCCCAAATTTGGTGGATTTTTTCCCAAAATTGAGGGAATTTATCCTCAAAACCGGAAGAAATTTTTCCCAAAATTGGGGGAATTTCTTCCCAAACCCTGGGATTTTTTCCCCAAAATTGAGGGAATTTTATCCCAAAATTGAAGGAATTTCTTCCCAAAACTGGGGGGGATTTTCCCCAAAATTGAGGGAATTTTATCCCAAAATTGGGGGAATTTCTTCTCAAAATTGAGGGAATTTTATCCCAAAATTGAAGGAATTTCTTCCCAAACCCTGGGATTATTTTCCCCAAAATTGAGGGAATTTTATCCCAAAATTGAAGGAATTTCTTCCCAAACCCTGGGATTATTTTCCCCAAAATTGAGGGAATTTTATCCCAAAATTGGAGGAATTTCTTCCCAAAACCCGGGATTATTTTCCCCAAAATTCAGCGTTTTTTTCCTAAAACTGGGGGAAATTCTACTCCAAACCTGGGATTTTTTTCCCAAAAACTGGGATTTTTTTTTCCAAAAAAAGGAATTTTTTCCCCCCAAAATTGGGATTATCCTCAAAACCGGAAGAAATTTTTCCCAAAATTGGGGGAATTTCTTCCCAAACCCTGGGATTTTTTCCCCAAAATTGAGGGAATTTTATCCCAAAATTGGGGGAATTTCTTCTCAAAATTGAGGGAATTTTATCCCAAAATTGGAGGAATTTCTTCCCAAAACCTGGGATTATTTTCCCCAAAATTAAGCATTTTTTTCCTAAAACTGGGGAAAATTCTACTCCAAACCTGGGATTTTTTTTCCCAAAAAAAGGAATTTTTTCCCCCCAAAATTGGGATTTTTTTCCCCAAAAAATGTGATTTTTTTCCCCAAAAAATTGGGGTTTTTTTTTCCCCAAAAATTTGGGATTTTTTTTCCCAAATATTGGGATTTTTTTCCCCCAAAAATGTGATTTTTTCCCCAAAAAATTGGGGGTTTTTTTCCCCAAAAATTTGGGATTTTTTTTCCCAAATATTGGGATTTTTTTCCCAAAAAAAAAGTGATTTTTTTTTTCCCAAAAAGAGTGATTTTTTTCCGCAAAAAATGTGATTTTTCCCCCAAAAAAACCGATTTTTTTCCCCAAAAAATGTGATTTTTCCCCCAAAAAACCCGATTTTTTCCCCCGAAATTTGGGATTTTTTTCCCAAACTGTGTGAGAATCCCCCCAGATTTGCGGGACTTGCCCCGGAAGGTTCCGGAAGGTTCCGGCATTGCCGCACCTGGTTCATCTTCTCCTTGAGCTCCCTCATCTCGCGCTCGCGGCCCTGGATCACGCGCTTGATGTCGTTGATGCGCGGCCCGAAGTTGGCCAGCTCGCTCTCCAGCTTGGACTTCTCCTGGGGAACGGGGGCAGAATGGGGAAAAATTGGGGGAAATGGGGAAAAATGGGGAAATGGGGAAAATTGGGAAAAAATGAGGGAAATAATGGGGGGAAATTGGGGGAAAATGGGGGGAAATGGGGGAAATGGGAAGATGGGGTGGGGGGAAAAATGGGGAAAATGGGGAAAAATTGGGAAAAAATTGGGGAAAATGGGGCGGGAATGGGGGGGAAATTGGGGGGAAATGGGGAAAATGGGAAAAAATGGGAAAAAATGAGGGAAATAATGGGAGAAAATGGGAGAAAAATGGGGGAAATGGTGAGAAAATGGGGGGAAAAATGGGGAAAATTGGGGAAATGGGGGAAAATGGGGGAAAAATTGGGAAAAAAATGGGGAAAATTGGGAAAAATTGGGGAAAATCGGGGGAAAAATTGGGGGAAATTGGGGAAATTGGGGAGAAAATGGGGGAAAAATGAAAGTTTTAGGGG